AAAACGAATGTCTCAGTTATTTGACATGGGTATCATAGAAAAAACTTTGAATTTGATTATATAAAAAAAACGGAAAAACAGTAAGGAGAAGTAAAATCAGAGAGTTACGGAAAATAAAAATTGAAAATTGGGAATTGGGTGTTATTACCTGAGAGAGAGAGAGAGAGAGAGAGAAGAGAGAGAGAGAGAAGAGACACGAGACGAGGAAGAAATGAAGAGAAGCGTGCGAGTGCCAACACGACTAAATGGTTCTGCGGTCACACGTGTGAATACAAATATCCCACTTTCCCTAAATTGCCCCTTTTGTTTTTATTAATTTACTTTTTGTGGCCTTTGGATCCATTAGGAATTAATGTGAAATTAAAGCCTCTTGCGCACCTGACAATGATCATCTGTCCCAAAAGTTTTATGTTCTCATGTTTCAAGCTAATTAAAGTTTACAAAATAATATTAAAATATTAAATTTTAATTTTATTATTTTTCTTTTTAATTGAATGAAGTCATGTGATTGGCTTGATACACAAAGTAATACATGAATTGTGACATATGATCTCAATCATTGCAAGATACACATAATGCCAATAGCACATATTTTATGTCTAAGAGAATAAGGATGAAAGATTATTAAGTGTAAACTTCTTTATGGGTGGTAAAACGTTATGTCATATCATGTTTGCTAGATAAGCATGACTTGTTTTACATGTCAGGCGGTCCTGATATGTCTCTACTCTAGTTGATACAATGTTTTATTAAGGGTGGATTGTTTTGTCGTCTTTCCCAGTTGCCATAGTCGTGTATATTAGGTCTGCCCTCGCCGTGTGACAGAAGATAGCTCAGGATCTAGACGGTGTGGAAATCCTGTAACAAAGGTCTGGATTGTTTAGACGACGTGACAGTCAGGTAGCAAAGGTATGTGGTCCCATCACTTACTAACTAGGCACTTTTAAGTTATTTACACTTATCAGCTAGCTAGTTGATAAGCTAATTTTACAAAACACTTGTAATTAATCATCAAAATTTCAGCTAGTTGTCAAATAGGGTTATATCTACAATATTAGAGCTGTTAGCATAGACAAATGGATATTTTGAACTACCTGAAGTAGTTTCATCATATATAAGTCATTGTATTCAGAATGGCTGAGTAAAAGACCTAGCTAATAAATAAATAAATAGAGTTGTACCTGCTTTGTTCACAAGAATGACAAGATCAATGCAAATAGGGGAAGTTGTACATCAGGTGCAAACATAAATAGAGTTTGTCAATATAAAGAAGTTTGTCTTTATGTTTCATGCTTTATGCAAAGGAACCAGATAAAGTTTTTCAAGAAAAATTGGAGGATGTTCTACACAGAAACCTTCTGCTACTCATGAATTCCAACAACTCCTCAGAAAAAATTATATGAAGATAATAGTAGGGAATAGCCATGGTGCTTAAATACTTACCTTCACCACTGTAGGGTCAAGATCAAAAGCCACATAAGGCCATCCTAATGCATCACTATCTCCTTTTGAAGCCAATGGATTGGACAGGAAATTGGCAAGGTCTTAGATTGTATTGATTGATCTACCTGGCCCATTTGTCCAAATCCAATCACAACAACGGGTTATTGGCACTAAAGTTAACCATCTCAAATGGTTTCTGTGAGGGAAAAAAATAGTATGTTCTTTATATACCTTGTGGTAGGTACAATCCTTCCCTAGACCCCACTTATAAAGGGAGCTTTATATCGGAAAATTTACTGGCATGGTGTAGTTTGACTACACTATGTCAGCTTTGGTGTAGTGAAAAATTTATTTACCGTATTAGTGTAACTTTTTGAATGTCGTGGATGGGAACCACGACATATGTGTCGCATTCCTAGCATGCGAGATTCATGGTGAGCTAAGTCGCATTCCGGCAATGCGAGATTAGTGTCGCATTTAGGGAATGCGACTTTGGTGTCGCATTGTTAGAATGCGACATCCCTCAAACCTGAAACAGTAGCATGTTTTTGGTGTTTTCTACCCTTACATGTATCCTAATACCCCTTTTTATGTATTGTAGTTTTTCTTTTATTTTTGTATTTTATGTTTTATTTTATTAGTATTGAATATTTGTAATAGAAAACCAAATAATAATAATTGATAATCAAAATCATAATTTTAATTAAAGTGCAAATTTAGTACATATTTAGAAAACGAAATAAAAAACATAAGAAAATCTATTTCCTAATGGCGTCTATGAGATGATGTGCCGCATGGAGATGGTCTTTTCCTTCGAGGTGGTTGGACTCTTAAGCTTGGTTGTGTTGGTTGTCTTGTTCCACCTCTAACTAACTGAGGCACCTCTTCCTCCTCCTCTTCATCATCTTCATCATCCACTTGTGTCGGCATTGTAGGTTGATAGTATTGTTCAGAGTTGAATGCCGACAATGGTGTTGTAGAAGTCGTTCCAAACATAGTTGGTAATGACTCTTCATAATGTGATGAAGATCCGAATTGATGAGAGATTGAATAATCATTCAACGCTCCAAAACTTTGAAATGTGAAGAAACCAAGAATTGAGTCTATGATATGTTGCTTGTACAAGGGAAGTGATAGGCAAATCTCTTGATCCTTTCAAAACACCATTAACACACTCTGCTAGGTTAGTCGTCATATGCCCATAACGTCTCCCTTCATCATATGATTGTGTCCATTTTTCTTTAGGGATGTTGTCTAGCCAAGCTGCTGCTATTGGATTTTTTTGACGCAAATCATCAAGCATACGCTCAAAACGGGGCCGCATCAACTTATATCCTACAACATATACATCAAATTTAACATTAACTACATAATATGACATAATTTTAAAATAAATTAAGGTCAAAATTAACATTAACTACATACCCATTTGAATAACTTTTTCTTTAAGGTCACCATCTTTGAACTCTTTATTGAAATTGCTTGCAACATGACGAATACAATATACTGAATATGCATTACACCATTGAGAAAGCTCAGTGCGAAGTGCACCCAACAAACCTGTACCTCTATCTGATATTATACATATATTCGGTTGTGGGGTAACAAAAGTACGAACATTGTAGAAAAACCACTCCCATGCTTCTTTAGTTTCTCATTCGACAATGGCCATCTTGCGAACTTGCAATTAACAAAGTTCCATTATATTTTCCGGTCAAGAATGTCCCATCCACTTGAAGGATCGGTTTGCAAAATCCAAACCCTTCAATACAAGGCTTGAAAGCCCAAAAAACTCTATCAAGAATTAAACTACTACTCTCATCGTGACGAGATGATGCATATCTTACAATTGTACCAGATGCATAACACTGGGCAGTGTTAAACCAACGAGTTAACTCCTTGTAAGATCCCTCTCAATCACCATAAATTTGTGACATTGCTATTTGTTTAGCTGTCCAAGCCTTTCTATACGTTACCGTATAACCAAAACGAGTGACAATTTCTTTTACTAATGCTTTAACTGGTATACCAGGATCTTCCGATACTAAGTGAATAATACAATTTGCAATGAATGATGAATTTAATTTCGTATGATCTTGAGAAATATTAGTGGATACACATGTGTGTGTTCCATTAATTTTTCTAATCTCCCATAAATCTCGCTTTCCATTAAGTGATGCCCTAATTCTCCATTGACAACCACTACCAAAATATTTACACTGTCCGACATATCTATCCGGTCTTGACTCTACAACAATGTAGTCAACAAAATTCTTAATATGAAACTGTTTTATAGCATTTATTGTTGCATCCTTTGATTCAAATTGCATGCCAATAAACAGTTCATTATCAAAGTCATTACTTAAATTATTTTTTCTATTTTGGATATCTTGTCCAGCATCTGAATCAATGGTAACGAAAAAAATGACGAAGGAGTATCGTATGTTATGTTAGCTAGTTCACTACTATCAAGCTCCAAATCTTCTTCATCATCACAACATAGCTCAATGTCTTCATCATCACTAAATTCGTTGACAATATCTCTAATAATCACAATCTACATATGAGCATAAACAAAATATAAGATAAAAACATTAATACAAAAAATGTTGAAGAAAACTAGAAAATCGGCAAACATACCTCGTCTCTCTGTGAATATAGTCTCGGCTCGTCCCTGTCTTATATAGAAGAACAGATGTCGCATTCTAACAATGCGAGACCAACCTCGCATACCTTAGATGCGACTTACCCCCCATGATTCTCGCATTCAAGGAATGCGACTCCTGTCAGTTTGTCGCGTACTGGGAATGCGACAAACACATATGTCGTGGTCCTCATCCACGACATTCAAAAAGTTACACTAAGACGGTAAATAAATTTTTCACTACATCAAAGCTGGCATAATGTAGTCAAACTACACCATGCCAGTAAATTTTCCCTTTATATCACTATGTGGCCCCTTAAGGTAGAGTTCAAAAGGAGTAAAAAAATGGTTGATGCAAAATCCATTGAATGGGGTTAATCCAACATGGGGTAAAAATGGGGTTAATACAATGTTGTGAAACCCGAGCCGGAAGGGCTTCGTATTAGGTCTAACCGGTTTAAACAGTTAAGCCGTCCGGTCAGACCGGATGATTTTAAATATAATTATTAATTTTTATCTATAAATATATAATTATATATAAATGGAAAATTTTATATAATTAATAATTTTATATAAGTATATTGAAGTAACATATCTCTATCTTTTTTGGGCCGAAATAAAACAAAACATTAGAGTAATGTTCCATTTTTTTAAAATTTTTAGTGAACCGTCCGGTTTTTTCTCGGGGTATTCTAGTTTAACCAGGTTTAACATGGTCGAACCAAAATTTCTCCAGTTCAAAGCGTTTCAACTACTCATTCGGTTAAGACTATGAAACGAAACCATTTTCAAATCCGGTCAGCGATCGAACCGCTCGGACCGTCCGATCTGGTTATCACAACACTAGATTAATCCATTGGAAACAAGTAATATACAATTTGATTTGTTAATTTATTTAAACTAAAGTTATGGGACCATCCAAAAAGAAGGCGCCTCCAAAAATATACATATGCCGCAAAAAGTGACAAGCACACGGTATTCCTTAGTAAAATCGGAAAGAATAGTTCGCTTTGTACTTATCACAGGTCTGTGTGATTATCACAATGCTAAGCACTTACATTTATACTGAGAGCATATCTTTATTCTTATGTTATATATGATGTAGGCTTTGTACATCATTGAAACTTGGCATGTGAAAACATGCTTCTACATGACCAAAACCTTTGCTTGTTTGCATCAACTATATATTGAGCAATATCCATCTTTTCCTACTTCGTAGCAACTCTAGAAGGCTCTAAGTACAATGAACCAAGTACTTTACTACATTTGTGACTCCAAAAGTAACAATGAAGTTGCAGAAGATGAATACATGTTCAGCTTTATTGTAACTGAGTATGACCTGCTTGCTTTACAAAAAGAGTAAAAAAAACACTCAAGGAACACAGGTAATTAACCTTCTTATGTCTACTATTTTGGTGAAACTGTTAAGAGGTATGTGTAGTTAGAGCATCTCTAATCACAAACAATATATTTATTCTTATTTGCATCACACACATTATTTTATAATTTATTATGAAATAAGAATAATATCTATGTTTTTTTCACCGTGACAAATATCATTATTATTCTTATATATGTTCCACAACTTATCTTGTTGTCTCTTATTATTCTTATTTAAGAATAAAATTTATAAAATAAGAATGATCTAATAGATAATATAATAACAATATCCTTATTTTTTTATAAGAATGAGAACACTTGTTGAAATTACTGTTATGATCATTGTTTTTTGTGTGACAATTAAGAAACTTGTAAAAATAAGAATTAATCAGAGGTACATCTTTCTCCATGTTGTCTCTGCATCTTTTAGATTTTTAAATAAAATGGTAAACATTTTGAATTATTTTTTAAAATAAATTAATTATTTGAGTTAATAAATCAATTCAAGCTGAAATGAACAATTCATGAACTTTAATCGAACTAAAAAAAACCATTCATATCAAATTCAAATTGAGTTTTGAATTAAACAAATCTTTATCTAGTTAAACCGAGTTGATTTCTGATTTGACTCGATTAAGCTTATTTCTAACCTTATTTGTTAGAGTAGTCAAACTCAATATAATAATTATATTATTAAAAGGACAACATTATTACATAGGTCCACCAATAATTGGAGTTCGATAAACATGTCTTTCATTTGCTTTGTGATTTCTTCTTCAATAATTACATTCTCATAACCTGATCATGAAAGTTTTCAAACCAGATATTTTGTACTTTTCTTCTCTACACTAAAAATGTTAAACACGTTGGTAAATAAAGCAACAATGATATTATAACAAATATACACACATACAAAATCATACATTCACATTTTTTTTAATGATGGAACGTTCCTTTTTCCACATGTAAATTCTAATTCAGTCTATAAATCTTTACATTAGTGAAACTTTATCAAGTTTCTTATAGTGTTGGAAGTTTGACAGCTTCTTTTACCATAAAAAATAGAAGTAATACCATAAATAAGAAGAAACTAAATAAATATACATATCGTGTAGGAATAGAAAGTCCCTTAAATCTTTTTTATATCACATATCATAATCCCAACCCAAAATTCACATATAACCCATACAAAATTAAAATATTTAACTAAAGTTCAATTAATAATTAAAAAGTCATAGCCAAATCCACCCACATGAACAAGATATGAAATATAATCATTTATCACAAACTCAAATCTTCCAAGTCCAGTAATAATTAATGAGTAAAATATTTATACACTATAACTTGTAAAAATTTATACACTATCCATATATCCATATTTTTTCCTCATAATATTCAAGCACCTTCCTATATTGAACCCTTCTTTGTCCATACTTGGTGCCTACCCCAATAAATGTTCATTCTTTCTATGCATGTGAATCATTTTCTCAATGTGAAACCAAACTCAAAATTTTCAAACTTTGAAGCCACTCTAATATATTCAAGCTCCACTTTTTCTACTCACTTTCCTAACTACTACATACACTGACACAACACCAACCACCACAACAACCAAGACTTCGCCGCCACCATGTTCGACGGAGGAACTTTCAGGCCGCCACACACTATGCTCACTGTTTTGTTTTTCCTCTGCCTTGTTACTTTATCTCATTCAAATGAGGTTCAATCACTTACGAAGTTTAAGTCCTATATCCAAAGTTCAAATGACAATGTTTTCAGTTCTTGGATACAAGCAAATTTTCCATGCAACTTCACAGGGATTGTTTGCAACACCAATGGTTTTGTCTCACAAATCAACCTTGCACAGAAACAACTAGCTGGCACTCTTCATTTCGATTCAATTTGCGCGCTTCGATCAGTTGAAAAAATCTCTTTGGAGTCCAATTTCTTGCATGGTAGCATAAGTGAGGAGTTGAGGAATTGCAAAAACTTGAAGTACTTGAATTTGGCAGGGAATTCATTTATAGGAACAGTGCCTGATTTGTCAAGTTTGAACAAGTTAGAATGCTTGAACTTAAATGGAAGTGGAATCTCTGGAGCATTTCCATGGAAATCATTGGAAAATCTAACAAGTATCACTTTCTTGAGCCTTGGTGATAACTTGTTTGAAAAAACTCATTTCCCTTTGGAGATCTTAAAGCTTGAAAATTTGTATTGGCTTTACTTATCAAATTGCAGCATCACTGGGAACATTCCATTGGGTATTGGAAACCTTACTCAGCTTCAAAATCTTGAGCTTTCTGATAATTATCTGTATGGTGAGATTCCTTCTGATATTGCAAAACTTCACAAGCTATGGCAACTTGAGCTTTATGACAATAATTTGAGTGGGAAAATTCCAATTGGATTTGGAAACCTTACCAATCTAGTCAAGTTTGATGCTTCTAACAATGACCTTGAAGGTGATCTTTCTGAACTAAGGTCCTTAATAAACCTTGCATCACTGCAGCTTTATCAGAATCATCTCTCAGGAGCAATTCCACAAGAGTTTGGAGATTTCAAAACCCTTACTGAAATCTCTCTTTATGATAACAAGCTCACAGGTTCTCTTCCACAAAACCTTGGCTCTTGGAAAGGCTTGGACTTCATAGATATTTCAGATAATTCATTTTCTGGTCATATACCACCTCACATGTGCAAGAACAACAGAATAGATGAGCTAGCATTGTTGAACAACAGCTTCACTGGAAGTATACCAGAAACATATGCAAATTGTACATCTTTGAAACGTTTTCGCCTTAATCAGAATTCACTTTCAGGCGTCGTTCCTTCGGGTATATGGAGCTTGCCAAATCTGATACTTATAGATTTTTCAATGAACAAGTTTGAAGGTCCAATAACATCTGACATTGGTAAAGCAAAATCTCTTGCTCAACTGTTTTTATCTGACAATCAGTTCTCAGGTGAGTTACCTTCAGAAATATCAGAAGCTTCTTCATTGGTATCTATTCAGATAAGTTCAAATCAAATTTCTGGTCACATACCAGAAGTAATTGGAAAATTGAAGAAACTAACTAGTCTTCATTTGGATAATAACAGCCTTTCTGGTATTATACCATACTCTATTAGTTCTTGTATTTCTCTTAATGAAATAAACCTTGCTGATAACTCTCTATATGGAGAAATACCACCTAGTATTGGTTCTCTACCTACCCTCAACTCATTGAACTTATCCTCCAATAAACTTTATGGTGAAGTTCCACCTAGTTTATCGCCTCATACGCTTAGCCTTCTCGATTTGTCAAACAACAATTTGGTTGGTCCAATACCAGAACCACTTGCTATTTCAGTTTTCAGAGATGGATTCATGGGAAATCCTGGCTTATGCAGTCAGAGTTTAAAGGATTTCCAGCCATGTTCAATGGAATCAGGAAGGTCCAATACACACAGAACCCTTCTGCTATGTTTGATAGCTGGTTTAATGCTTATGCTTGTTTCTTCAGCATATTTCATCTTCATGAAACTGAACCACAACAAGTTTGAGAAGCCACTCAAGACTATTTCTTGGGATGTCAAGCAATACCACAAGCTAAACTTCAATGAGAATGAAGTTATTCAAGGGATCAAGGCTGAGAATTTGATTGGCAGTGGAGGATCAGGGAATGTTTACAAGATTGTACTTGAAAACGGTGCGGAATTCGCAGTGAAACACATATGGACTTCAAATCAAAGTGACCGCGAAAGTTGCAGAAGCAGTTCAGCTATGCTGAAAGGGAGTTCAAAGTCGCCTGAGTTTAATGCAGAAGTGGCCACTCTTAGTTCTATAAGGCATGTGAATGTGGTGAAGCTCTATTGTAGCATCACAAGTGAAGATAGTAACCTTCTTGTTTATGAGTTGTTACCAAATGGAAGCTTGTGGGACAGGTTACACAGTTGTAGTAAGAAGACAAAGATGGGGTGGGAGGTTAGGTATGAAATAGCACTTGGAGCTGCTAGAGGATTGGAGTACCTGCACCATGGGTGTGATAGACCAGTTATACACAGAGATGTCAAGTCTAGTAACATATTGCTTGATGAGGAATGGAGGCCAAGGATTGCTGATTTTGGACTAGCCAAAATTGTGCAAGGAGGTGCAAGCAATTGGACCAATGTCATTGCTGGAACACTTGGATACATGGCTCCTGGTAAGCTTATTATATGGTTCATAATGCAACAAAAATATAAACAATAACTGGATCACATCTTTTGTCCAACACTTTGTATCATTCCCTTCGGATTGGTCTTATAAATCTTATTTGACCAATTATAATGAGTGACACAATGTAGCACTTGTGATGTTATTCTAATAATATAATACGATGATAACATCTATTGTACCACATAGTGCGACATAACCTTATTCCATGCATTATGATTGGTTAATAAATATCATCTCTCATTATTTGCTATGGGATATTTATTACCAAAAACAACTATTGGGAAATTAAATCAACTTACCAATCAGAATACATGACTAGCATTGGGACACATTTTGTGTACAAAAGATTTTTCCCTAATATACTCATATTTTGGTGATTGAGGTTAGTATGAGCATTGTTGAAACTTAAAACAAATGATTTGGTTATCTTGAGTTGTTGACTATTATGCTT